AATTGCAGTTTTGTATTGTTGATCTCAAAATAAACGTTTTTTTATTAAATACTGGTAACCCGCGCGGCAGCGAACCTTGGTGACAGATTGACCAGGAGAGTCACCGTAAACAGTTATTGAACAGGAAGAAAAAGCCAAAGAGAAAACTCTTTTTTTCTTTCGTTTTACAACAGTATTATCAAGAAAGGTTCCTAAACTACTCAAAGTAAGCGGGCGCACCATCTTTTCTCGTTTATATTTACTATAGCGACATTTGATCCTGATACTTTGATATGAATCACAACTGCTTTCGGTCTTTTTGCACAAGTTATAGATTTCAATGTCATCGTTTCCAAGATTACATTGTACATGACAGTCTCGTACAACACAATTTCCAGCTTTGACCTCGGTGTAGAAACCTTAGCCAATCTCTATCCAGTCTTGTACTTATTCTAACCAATACCTTGTACTTCGTTCCAAAACTCTGTTATCTAGTACAGCTCTAAACCGTGAACTGTAAAAATAGAGAAAGAAAATAAAAACAAAAACTTCTTGTCAACCTATATTTCAGCAAGCTGCGAAAGCCTTTCAACGTTTTTTATTTTAGTGTCTATTCTATTCAAAACGTGGTTATCAATTTTTAGACTTTTCTGAAAGCATACGTTCTGTTTTAAAATCACCTTTAGGCGATACTTGACTAGAGTATTTTAGTTTTCCTAAAAAAGACACCTTGCACAAATGCTACTTCAAAAATTCAAATTAATATCCTTCTGTAAAGTCGTACACAGAATTCTTTCCAGTATTATTTATATACAACTCGCCGTGAAATCAATCTACGATGGGAAATATTAATCGTTCAACTACATTTTCTTCAAAAAAGACACCTTATTACGCGTTTTAGCTCTACGTCTCAGAGTGGCAAAGTTTTCACGATCCCGACAACTGTCTTAAACCGAATCAAATGCGGTTGAAACAGCTAAAGCAATAAACAGTCTTTGTTAAAAATTTAAGGTCAAGGCGGGAATATCTTAGAATGAGGAAAGAGAGAACTAAGCTCTCATTACTGTCATGATTTCTAGGCTAGAAATTTCACAAGTTTTTATAATTGGGCTTAAGATGCTGTTTATTAAAAACGGCAGCAAATCGCACTACGGGTTCCGCTTGCTAAGAGGAACGCTCTCTTAGTCTCCTGCTCTACGGTAATTAGCGATTGTATTTGTCACAACAGAGAGACGTGAGAATCAGTAATTGCTTCACATATTTTAAGATGAACTAGAAACATGAGAGCATTACCTATGAATGTTGTAAATAAAATTTTAAAATTAGAGAACTAAACAATCCTTTTTATGCTAAGCAGAGATTAACTTTTAAAAAGGCTTACGATATGGTAGTTTTTAAATTGGTTCGTATTAACAAACGAAGATCTGTACGTAAATTTCATTCACTTTTCTTACAGCATAACAACTTATCTTAGCTATTAACTTTTGAACTATTTCTGTTGCTTGTATTCCACAGATTTCATCAGAAGATTTGGCCAGCTGCTCAAATTTTGCATTTTTCTCTCGAGTCGTGCTTTACCGTATTATTTTTTTCCGCAGTTGTAAGCCACTTTACATTATTTTTCAATAAATACCTCAAAGTTTGCTAAGCCTCAACGTTCAGAAAACTCCAGACACCCAACTTTCGTGGCTGCAGACAAAATTTTAAAAATTGAAGAGTCGCCCTCGTCAGCTTCTCTTCTACAGTGTCCTATTGAACCTCTCTACTACGCTTTCTACTGTAGTTCAATCAGCCCTTGAAGCTACAACGCCAAGCTACTGCTACCTTGAGACTTTGCTTACAGCTTAAGACCCCTTTTGTCCTAGGCCTATGCGAACCGATGTGTTGAATTATTGCCAACTCTAGTACTTAGGAAGATTGCTACTTAGCCGTAGTACACCTACCTAAGCTTATATACAAAAGGAATTACTTGAATTCTACAAGTGCGTCACTATCTTTCCTACTAACTAGTTTATTACCAATAAACCAGATTATACAAAATGATGAGATATTACTAGAAACAGTCCAAGACCTATTATAAACAATAATGAAATATAATAAGTAAAGAAACTACTAGAGAAGAAAATGAGCACACAACTGCCTATCGGCACGTTAAGAGAGAGAGAAAATTTGGTAACAAATGCCGACAATCAAGTAGAATTGATTGTAATGAAGAACTCTAAAGTTAGACAATTGTCACTCCCTATTTATAGCCAATTCTACCGGCGGCGTGACTTAGGTAGTATGCTCCTCCGAGAGCGTCCCCT